GGGTGACNCCCAGTGGCTGCCCACAGCCCGCCTCCTCCCACCTCATGGCCAAGATCGCCTTCCGCAGCCTCCAGACTTCAAAACTCCTCAGAAAAAAAGCCCCTCTGCAGGTCATGGATGGGTTGCTGGTGAAGATGCCTCCTCCCAGGGACCCAAGAGGATGCTGACCCACGAGGCTGTGACTCGCAGTGGCTTGGGTGACCTCAGGCAGCTCGCTCAACCTCTCTGAGCCTCACCTTCCTCACTTGTCAGCCAGGAGCAGTAACAGTATTGAGCTCATGAAGATAAACCACTTAGAATAGCTGTGGATGTTTGGAAACACAACAGCTGTTGGCAACTCTCAGCCAGGCTCCAGAGGCACAACGCTGGGGGTCTGCGCTCACAGGATGTTTGACCTTGGAGGCCTCCTTGAGGAGCAGAGGACCCTAATCCTACATGCACAGGAGGATAATAGAGTGCTTCCCACTTGCCAAGCACTGTTGCAGCATTTTCCATGTATTAATTCATTTACTCCTCAGTCACTTCCCTGTGAGTAGGAACTGTTATTATCCCCACTTTACAAATGAAGAGCCTGGCGACCTGCAGCCAGTAAACAGCAGAGCTGGGCTCTGAATTCAGGCCAGTGTAGCCTCAGAGCCCACACCCCTCATCACAGCAGTCTGCTACTTGTGCAAAACAGCAGCAAGAAATCCACTCAGCCCTGGCTGCTGCAGGAAGACCAGATCAGGTGGAAGACTTCACTTACTGAAAAAAAAGAGCTATTTAGTAGAGCTGCAGTGATGACAGCAATGATGGGAATGATGTTAATGGTGATGGTGCTAATAGGGATGTGGTGATTGATATTGGTGATGGTAAAGATGATGATGTGATGATAGTGATGCTGGTGGGGGTGGTGATGGTGATGATGATGGAGGTGGTAATGGTGATGATGTCGGTGGTGAAGACGGTGGTATGGTCCTGATGATCATGATAGTGGTGATGGTAAAGATGATGTGATGAACGTATGATGATGGTGGTAGGCGGGTGTGACTATGGGATGAAGATATGATGGTGGTGAAGATGATGGCGGTGTGGTCCTGATCAGGATGGCGGTGATGGTAAAGATGCTGCTGCTGCTATGATGAGGCTGATGATGGTGGCACCGGTGACGGTAAAGGTGATGATGGTGATGGACCCCTTTGCTGTCCCTCAGGACCGTATCTCAGAGCAGAAATCTGATTGTGTCCAGAAGCCAGAGGGCGGGGAGTGTCCGTGCAGGGGGAGTTTTTCACAAAGCAGTCAGAGATAATATGATCACCAAAGCTCCCCTTTCTCTTATAAAACAATTGTGGTAGCAGAAGGGAACCCGTTGTTTTTAAGGCCAGATTAAAAACTTGGTAAATCTCATGTTAGTCTACATCCTTCTCTCTTTTGTCTAAAATTTTCTTGGTCCACAAAATCCAAAACTCTGGGAACCCCTGGCTAGCTGATCTAGAAACGGTCTCTTTCTTTTCCACTGGTAAACACGTGGACACGTACACACAGAACACACACACACGTTGACTGCACGCCCCGCTCCTGCGACCTGGAACCTGTGACCTAAGCCAGCAGCTGGTGCCAGCCAGCTCTCGGAGCCCCGCAGTTCCCTAGACAACCAGCACAGAGCCTGCACGTGGGGCTTAAGCAACAGGAAGTGAGCAATTGTGATAACAGTTAACAGCCCATCCCCACAGTCCTTCGATGGTTTCCTGAGCTGCGTTGCTTATCCCCACTTATCCTGCAGGGCCTGGGGAGTGTGTTGCCCCGCTCGGATGTCACAGGGCTGGCCTGGCCCGATGCTCTGCCTGCCCCACACAGTTATCTGACTCCTGGGGCCCTCAGCCCAGCCAACATCCCCACCCCACCCCCAAGATCCTGAGCCCCAGAGAGCAGAGGCCCCACCCTCTCTGAGTCCTAATCCCCTCATGGGGGGCACAGGGCCTGACCTCCAGGTGGCCCTGAGAAATGGTAACTTGTGGAGCAGGACGCCAGAGAGGAGGACGGGGACTACCTGGGCACATGTGGTCTGGCTGCCAAGCACAGCAGACATGCATCCGGCCTGGCTGGACCAGTGCCCCCGGGTCCCTCCGACTGTGTGCAGTATGTTTCTGTTTGCTGATTTACAGTGGACTGTTGGGATTAGGTCTGCCAGCTTCAACATTGCATGTCTGCCAAGAGTTAGACACCAGAGGTGATACAGAGAGAACCAAGGCCAGATCCCTGCCTTTAAGCACCAAGAGGGCACTCAGCCCTCACCAGGGACCCGTTGGTGTGGTCTGCTGGTTCTCAGCCTGGCCCTGTCTGCTGGCCAGGAACCCATCCCAGCCCTGTTGTTTAGCAGCCGTGTGCCTTGGCCTAGGCAATTGTCAGCAGACCCATCTGTAAAATGGGTCCAGCAGTCTTACCTCCCTCACCAGGCTTCTGTGACCAACAAGTGGGAGCCTGGATGGGCACAAATTGTGACCCAGGGGAGGGACTCAATAGATGTTAGCAAGGACAGAGATGTTACAGACCCAGGTTCCTGGAGTCTTTAATCAACAGAAATTGATAGAGGCCAGATGAGAAGTCAGGCCAGGGTTTACTGGGATGCATGCTGCCCCACGAGGGACAGAGAGCCAGAAACTCGTTCCCTTGCTGCTCTCCAGGGGAGCGAGCTGGTCCCTTAAGTGGGGTGAGGGTAGGGGCGGGTCAGTGGGTTGGGCCAAAGGAGGGACTGAGGGGGTCTGCCCACCCCCTCGGTGTGTGCAGAGATCATGCATAGTACCTGCTTTTGCTCCCTGTTCCTCGGAAGGGGCCGTAGGGCTTTTTGATCTTTTTGTATCTTGTCCAGAATCTGCCCCAACTGCACATATGTGTGTGTTTTGTTTTGAGTCCCTTAGAGTTTCTTTATATCTGTCACACAAGGAGACGTTTGTCCAGGTGCAGACCCTGCAGTGAGGGGTCCCACACCCCAGCCTGTCCCAAAGACAGTGATGACAGAGCAGAGACAAACGCCAAGCAGAAGCGAGTGGCTGACTCCACGGCGAGGACACACGGGGACAGGAAGGGTGGCATGAGGTGGAGAGGAAGCAGGGGACCACCCTTGGCCGGACTTGGGACCTGCAGAGTGGCACGCGGGCCCCTCCCCAGGGGCCGTGACGGGCAGATGAGTGGGCGGGACCTGCAGAGTGGCACGCGGCCCCCTCCCCAGGGGCCGTGAAGGGCAGATGAGTGGGTGCAAGAGCAACACTTGGAACAGGGCCTGGGACCCAGTCAGTGCTCAGAGTCAGGGACCACGATGGGGATGCAGCTGTTAGCGAGGTCCAGGGAGCTGTAACTTGCGTGTCATTGGAGCCTTGGGTGGCGTGATGGGAAAGGCCGGGGGAGCCGAGTCACGGAGTGCCTTTAAGGCAGTGTTAGCTGCTGTGACACGCAGGTCCCTGAAGCGTAGCACAAGGCAGGACAAGGCTGCTGCCCACGTTCACAGCTGACGCACAGCGACCCAGGCGTTGCTAGGAGTCCTTGAGGATCCCATCATCCTCTCGGGCCTGGGAGTCCTAGCTCTGAGCTGGGAGAAGCAGCAGGAGAGGGCGTGGAGATCTCCCTGGCCTCCGCAGAAGCCAAGCTTGGAGGGACACACACACCCCCCTCCCCTCCCCACCTGCGGTGGCGTATGCTCAAGTTCCATTGGTGAGAGCTGGTCACGTGGCCATGCCTTGCTGCAGGGGGTGCTGGGAAATGTAGTCCTAAGCGGGCCACCTGCTGCTCTCGGCTCCCCCAAAGGCAACACCACACTTTATGTTAATAGAAGGGGGTGTGTATTTTTGCTGCATCAGCTGCCTCTGGGCCTGAGGAGAGTCGGCTGTTATCAGGCATACCCTTCTCAACGCCCTTGCAGTTGTTCACGTTTCCACTGCAGATGTGCTTTTGGGTTTGGATAAAGTTACATTTGCTTTGAAACGTGGGGTCAGGGAGCCGGACCACAGTTACGAGGGTTTACATGAGCTTTGAGCCATCCTCCTGAAGCCAACTGCAAAACTTTTCCCAGGGTTTGGGAAAGAAGGTATGCAGGAGGTTTGTGGGGGAAAATATCTGAACAATAAATCAGAAGCAGCCGTGTTTCTTGCATTTGTGCTATTGTGGGTTTGTTCCCCCTCCAGCTCTGAGCTATCAATTAAGCCTAACTACACCATTCATATAATTTCCCGTGAAATTTACCTCAAAATGTGCTGAGTAAGAGAAGTAAGCAGAGGACTTAATTAGGAACTTATCATGTCTGTTTGGTTTTTGTTTGTTTTAGGAGAAAGTAGTGATAATCAGGGGCTTCCCAGGTGGCACAGTGGTAAAGAATCCACCTGCCAATGCAGGAGACGCAAGAGATTCGAGTTCAATCCCTGGGTTGGGAAGATCCCCTGGAGAAGGAAATGGCAACCCACTATCCTAGCCTGGGAAATCCCACTCACAGAGGAGCCTGGGGGGCCTACAGTCCATGGAGATGCAAAGAGTTGGACACGACTGAGCGACTGAACACACACACACACAATGATAATCAGTAAAATAGCAATAAACATTCTTTTTTCCCCAAAGCAGTCATCCACAGGTTCTCAGGTTTGCTGGACGGCTTGACAGCATCACTTGAGAATACCATTCTAGCAGATTCCGTGTGCCGGGTGGGCCGCCACTGCTCCCACTGGGACCTGCACGGCCCTGTCTCCTTTGCAGAGGGCATCCTCCACCACCTGGGGACCCTGGGACTCAGCCTCCATGGGGACCGGAGCGCGGGACTCTCCAACAGTCATCCTTGGCGTTCATCGGCGTCCCCCACACTTTGCAAAGTTAGGCCGCAGAGCAGGGCCTCATCTCTCTCCCAGATCTTTCCCCAGGAGAAGCGGGTCCCACGCTTCCGAGGTCAGACAAACACGGGAGCCTGGCCAGCCTCTTGTGGTTTCAGCGTTTGGGGACCGTGACTTTCTAAATGATGTCTCTCTTCCCTCTCTGTGCAGAAACTCGTGCAGACCGCAGCAAGAAGCTCTTCCGGCACTATACAGTCGGCTCCTACGACAGCTTCGATGCCTCCAGGTAAGACGTCATTCCTCCTGCCAGGCCCCCTCTGCTCAAAGATGCTCGTAGGCGTCAGGAAGGCGCTGGACCATCCTGCATGGAGCACTCGGGTCCTTGGCTTGATTCCTTCTGTGTGACCCCCGTCACCGTGCCCCACCCTCACCCCTGTGGACATGGGCTGGGATGATGGAGACCACCATCTTCCAGAGGACCCGCTTGAGAAGTGGTCTCTGGGCCGCCCACGGCTCACAGTCGGGCTGGAGCACACGGATGGAGTGGCCAGGGGAGAGGAGGAGGCGAGCCTGGCCTTGTTTGGGGGGAAAGCAGGACAAGTGGGCAAGATGAACTTGCTGGGCCGCAGGAGCCTGGAGGTGGCTGCATGTGGCAGCGTCTTCCTGGGGGACATGAGAGTAGCCTCCGCTTCCATGTTATTTGCATTTTCCCCGCTCCTCCAGCCTCTGAGTCGAAGATTTGGTCAGAGGAGGGCTCATCCTGGTGACCCGAAAGCTGGCAGACCTTGCAGGAGGGGCGGGTTTGCTTTCTGGTTCCTTCAGAAGTGGCTCATTTGGTTCCTGCAGAGAGCGTTGTGGCATGGGGCGGGGGTTCAAGTTTTCCAGCAGAAACACACTCATGTAACGCAGGGAGCCCTTCCTTGGGTCCTGGCACCTCTGCCTTTTAGCTCTGGGGGCCGCGGAGGCGGATCGGGGTCCTGCTGGGCGAGGGGGAGCGCCGTTTCGGACCATGACTCCAGGAAGAGCTGGGAGGGAGTGGCACTTCTGGCCCGTGTTCCCACCGCTGCGTCAGCTTCTCCGGCTCTGAGTGTCCCCAAGCGCGAAGTTTCTCTGTCCCCCCACCCAGACTAAGGACTCTTACTGGACAAGGTGGGGGCGGGGAGCTCAGTGAGGACCAACCGGAGGCCCCGTCTGGAGTTCCCTGCCCACCCCACCTGAGAAGCTCCGGGTGGGGGAAGGATCCGGAACCCCGCCCCTGGTTCTCCCCGGACTCTCTCGGTGGGGTCTTAATGCTCGTCTGCCTGCCGAGGGGCGGGACCTGGTTTCATGTGTTTGTTTTTACTGAGTTAAAATTTCCATAACCTAAGGTGACCATCGGAGAAGGCAACGGCACCCCACTCCAGTACTCTTGTCTGGAAAATCCCATGGACGGAGGAGCCTGGTGGGCTGCAGTCCATGAGGTCCCTAAGAGTTGGACACAACTGAGCGACTTCACTTTCACTTTTCACTTGGATGCGCTGGAGAAGGAAATGGCAACCCACTCCAGTGTTCTTGCCTGGAGAATCCCAGGGACGGGGGAGCCTGATGGGCTGCCGTCTGCGGGGTCTCAGAGAGTGGGACAGGACTGCAGTGACGCAGCAGCAGCAACGTGAATGTAAAGCACCCAGTTCGGCAGCGTTTAGTGCCCTCACAGTGTTGTGCAACCATCGCTTTTATCAGGCCTCGCTGGGGGCTCAGCGGTAAAGAACCCGCCTGCCAGTGCAGGAGACACGGGTTCGGTCCCTGCCCCGGGAAGATCCCCTGGTCAAGGAAATGGCAGCCCACTCCAGTACTCTTGCCTGGGAAACCCCACGGACAGTGGAGCCTGGCGGGACTATGGTCCATGGAGTTACAGATGTGGATATAACTTAGCAGCTAAACAACATCACCTTTATCTGGTTCCACAGCATTTCTGTTGCCTGGAAAAGCAGCCCCCTAACCCATGAAGCAGTCTCCATCCTTCCCTGCCCTATCCCCCTGCGGCCACCAGTCTGCTTTCTGTCGCTAGAGACTTGCCTGTTCTGGACATCTCCCAGAAATGGAATCCTGCAGTGTGTAGCGTATGCAGTCCTCTGCGAATGGTTTCTTCACTTAGTAGAATATTTTCAAGGTTCATCCATGCTGTGGCGTGTGTCAGGGCTTCATCCCTTTTTTTCTCTAATTTTTTATTGAGGTGAAATACAAGTGGGCTTCCCTGATAGCTCAGTTGGTACAGAATCTGCCTGCAATGCAGGAGACCCCCGGTTCGATTCCTGGGTCGGGAAGATCCGCTAGAGAAGGGTTAGGCTACCCACTCCAGTATTCTTGGGCTTCCCTGTGGCTCAGCTGGTAAAGAATCCACCTGCAATGCTGGAGACCTGGGTTTGATCCCTGGGTTGGGAAGATCCCCTGAAGAAGGGAAAGGCTACCCCTTCTCCAGTATTCTAGCCTGGAGAATTCCATGGACTGTACAGTCCACGGGGTCGCAAAGAGTCGGACACAATTGAGCGACTTTCACTTTCAGTGCAAAATGCAAGTAACGTAAACTTTACCAGCGTAACCATGTGTCAGCGCAGCTCAGTGGCATGGTAGTTGATCAGGCGCTCAGTCGTGTCCGACTCTTCGCGACCCCGTGGACTGCAGCGCGCCAGGCCTCCCTGTTTTCGCTGTCTCCTGGAGCGTGCTCATACTTGTGTCCTTCGAGTCAGTGATGCCATCATAACCGTGTCTGAGTGCACAGCCCGGTGGCATCAGGTACGTTCACGGTGTGTGCAGCAGTTCCCGCCATCCTTTGCCAGAAAACCCTCATCTTCCCAATCTGACGCTCTGTCCCCATTAAACGTTCGCTCCCCACCCCTCCCCCAGCGCATGGCCCCCACCGTCCTGCTTTCTGAGAACCTGACCGCCCTGGGGGCCTCCTTGTAAGTGGAATCATCTGCTGTTTGTCCGTTTTATGTCTGGCTTCTTTCACAGAGCATAATGTCCTCAAGGTGCATCTGTGTCATACCAGATGTCAGAATAACCTTCCTTTTTGAGGATGAATAGTATTCCATCATGGGGAGGGACCACATTTTGTGTATCCATTCATCTGTGGACGGGCACTTGAGTTGCTTCCACCTTCCGGCTATTGTAAATAGGCTGCTGTGGACACTTGTGTACAGGTATTTTTTTTGAACACCTGTTTCCAGTTCTTTCGTGCATATACCTACGCGGGGAACCACTGGTTCTAGGGTTCCCCTATCCCAGCCTCCTTTCTCTCATAAACAAGATATGCTGGGACAGAAATGTGATTCCCAGCAGAGCAGCCAGTCCCCTCTTTCGGGGGACTTTCGGGCTCTTCAGACCTTTCTGAGACCGCCCACCTTCTGACCTTAAAAGCCCAAGATGTGATCTGCAGCGTGGCTGCCAGCGCAATCCAGAAAGGGCGCTCAGAGAAGCGATGGTTTCCAGGGAGTCAGGCCTGCCCTGGGCTTCTGCCGATGAGTCTCTATCTGGGTCAGATGAGTTGTTTGTGCCTTAGCAGGAGGCCGCCCATCAAAGTGGACCCTGGGCCCATGGTCACGGTCAGCACGCTGTCACACTTGGCTTCCCTTATAGCAGGGAGGGGCACCTGAGGCTCCAAAAACACCGGGAGCTGTTGCCATGGTGACTTGGAGGGCCGTCCAGGCTGGGCGTGGGGCTTTGAGGGAAGGGGCCTCTGAGAGCTGGGAGGGCCGGGCATGGCTCACCCACAGGCTGTGGCCTTGGCAGAAACGTGTCCCCATGAGATCCGCCACCAGCGGAGAGTAGCCAGCAGGCCACCCTCGGCGTGTGTGTGTGTGAGGGCGGGTGTGTACGCACGCTCAGCGCTCGGGACGGGCTGGGCTGCCTCCCCACAGAGGAGCCGTGAGGGGCCTGACTTGACTGAGCTGGGAGGAGGGAAGACCCTGGGGCTGGGCAGGCTGGGCCATGTGTCCTGTGAGTGAGAACAGGTCCAGAGAGCAGCAGGGCTGTCTGCTGTAGCTCGGCCAACAGCGGACGTGTGGAGCCATCCTGGCTATTCAGCGGCAGCACAGAGCCTCCCCCACCTAGGGAGGAAGTCAAGCGGGGCGGGCGTCGTCTTGGTGGACTGTCACAGAAGGTTGGGCCAGATGACCTCCGAGGCGGGGGCCGGGTCAGCATCCCGTCATGGCCGCAGATGAAGGCTTGGGCTCCCTGCGTGCCCAGTACCTGCTGAGGGCCGGTACCCGGGACCGCAGAGGAGGGACCTGCTGGCCACACCTGGCTCAGAGGATAGCCGCTCTGGCCTTGACCGCACTTTAGAAGCCAGCCGTCCTCTCCCACAGGAAGGAGTTAAACAGGCCCCACGTGGACCCCACATGACGCGGTGTTGCCATGAAAGAAATCAGAATGACGATCGTTCTGTTTAACTTCCTGCCACGTGCCAGCCACCTCACATGGATCACAGCACCACTGACCAATGACCCTAACAGCCCCCTGGAATGCTGGTGTCATTTTCTGCTTGGCAGGCGGACCCTGGAGAGGAGATGGCGGGAGTGGGGTGCCAGTTAAGGACCTGGCCCTCAGCCGCACGAGTGTCTGAGGCCATCAGAGTACACCGCCCATGCCTTCAGCACCCCTTCTCCCAGGGTGAAGCTCCTTACTGCCCCGGGCCAGCCCAGGGACCAGCCTGGGATTGAGGAAGACGGGTGAGGTTGAGAGGCCATATTCTCTGTCAGGACAGAACCACCGCCCCATGCTGGGGGCTGGGAGGTGGGAGCAAGGACGTTGCCTTGGTTACCACAGCGCCTCTGAGCTTTTCCATAAAGGGCGCAGGGGCCCACCTGTGGGATCCTGCCACGGCCCCCAGCTGACCTTATCCAAACCGTGAGCTTGGCAGAGGCATTGGAGGGCGGGCAGTGAGGCAGCCTGGGGCTCCCGTGCACCATCGTCTCCCAGGCCTGGCAGGGGCAGCTCTGGAGTGCATGTTGAAGTGAGAGGCTGACCTCTGGTCCTCTGGGTGAGCGGTGAAGAGCGTCCAGGGGGCTTGCATGCCACAGTGTGGCCTCACACCAGCTGGGCACTCGTTAGCCTGCTTCCAGGTTCATGTTAGACACAGAGTCTGGGGACCGCTGCAGCCTCGGGCCAGTTACCCACGGTGGGCGGTGGGGTGGCAGCCTGGACCGGTGGCTCCGGGCTCAGGCCTCCCCTCGGCAGATGCAAATGTGATGAAAGAAAATGCAAGCAAGGGAAGCAAGACTCAATGGAGACAGTTTCTGAATCAGTCGG